CCTACATGGTTTTTAATTTTTAATTGGATTTCTTTCTTATAGCTTTTGTTTTAAATATTTTTTGGACAAGAATCTAACACGCGTCTTTTTCTAGACAATACAAGAACCTAAATTACTGAGCATTATGATATTGCTAAATTTTTGTATATTTTTTCATTTTATGGTCAAATGGTATCTTTGTTTGAAAAAAAAAAATGAAGTATTTTATCTAAAGCATTGTAATAAGTTTATAGAACGTTTTTGAACGTCATAACAAGTTTGTTAGAACATTTTTATAAAGAAAGCGTCATATATATTAGCTATATTGTAGGACATTATTTGAAAAAGTGTCTTATAAACACAAGTGTCCTATAAAAAGATGGGTTTATAGAACACTTTCTCAAAAGTGTCCTATAAAATAGCAAATATGATGCTTTGTATTAAAAGTGTCCTAAAACTTGTTAAGACGTCCAAAAGCGTTCTATTAACTTATTACAATGTCTTTAAATATGATAATTTATTTTTTGGTCCTATCATTATATACTATAAAACAGTCTATTAGGACGCTTATTTATCAGTGGCGTCCTATAAAAACAATTTTATTGTAGTGTTTGTAGCATACTTCAATTTTCTGTTGTTTTGCACGCCTAGAAAGACAATGGCAAAGCCACCTTATAGCCAGAAGGAACCAAGGCTCTCCCTCAACCTTTTATAGTTATGTTGTTTAGTCCTACTTTTTTTTTTTTTTTTGACAATAATTGTCTATAGACAAGTATTTATAAAGAATGTATCTCTTAAAATGGTTTTTCAACATTAGAATGTAAGTTTTCTTACATTATGTTTTCAAATTTTCTTTACATAAATTTTCTAGCTCTGCCTCTATATGAAGAGGAATTCAAAAAGAAAATAGGACTTATTTACTATGAAATATATATTCCTTATCTTTATTTATAAATTTAAGAAATCATTTCTTTTGTGCATATCATATAGAAGTAAGAATGTGATTGAGTGTAAAAACTTAATTGTAATATTACTTGTAGGTGTGTATATATATACATCTTGAGTAAATCGTAACCTATAAAACTAAGTCGTAACATACAATCAAGTGATTACGAGAGAAACCGTAACATATAAAACTAAACCATAACTTATAATCAAGTGACTATGAGATAATATTTAATTAATATAAGATTATTATGAGTATCCACTCATGCCCCTGCAAGATGGATGATCGATTATTTAGACCAATCTTGGATATGAGTTCATTGAACCGCGTTCTTGAAAATGGCTTAGTATGAGTATCAGCTAGCAGGGCCGTCCCTAAGGGAGGATGGCACGGGCGCACGACTTGGGCCAAAAAATATAAAGAATGTATCTCTTATGGTTTATATTTGTTTTATATGAGATATTTCTGTTATCTCATGGGAGAGTGTGCTTAAATGTTTTAAAAACCTCCACCGCCTTATGCTTTGTTTAAAAGAGTGATAAGATATTTTTTCTTATCTCATTGATTTTGGGTTGGCCATGCTTTTGGGTTGGTTTTACTTCTAGTTGTTTTGATAAAGAGGGAACTTGTTTTAAGAACCAGAGGGGCTCTAGTTGGTAAGACCGGAAGGCCTCTGGTTGACCCTTGTTCTAGTTGGCCTGTTGGCCTTACTTTTTGTTGGTCATGCTTTGTATGATGCAAGTTTTACCCATAAAGTATTTTTAAGACATTATGTATTTTTATAACTCTGAAGAATGACTCTTCAAACTTGTAACTCTGAAGTAAAAGTCTGAAGTATTCCTTTTCAGACTTAGCCTACCCGAAGTCTGAAGTATTGTTGGTCCCATAAGGGTCTACAAGAAGAGAAACAGTTTGTAGAAAGGGGGGGGGGAGATGAATACAAACACAATATTTTTAAATTTAAAATATATATTGATAGAGAAGATCAATACAGATTTTACAAGATTGTTTGCGGAAAGATAAGGTAATAAAAACCTATCTAAACAATCTTTGGTT